CGCGGCCAGTTTTCGGTCCCTACGCCGTTTCCTTGGTTCTCCGACCGGCATTATCGTGGCGTCTACTACGGGGACCTCTGCTCCACTACGAACTGCATCATTTATTAATGGGGTTCAATCTTCTCTGCATCTGCCTCCATTGCTTCTTGGCAGGCCATCGTCTCCATGTGGCTGTTGCTCCCCAACTTGTCTGTCATGGCGGTCATTTCCCCTCGCCATGCTTTCATATTGGCCTGTCTGTCGTCCTCTAGTTTGGCCAACAACTCTTTATGGTCGGTTTTTCTATCTGCGTCCATCTTGGCCAGCAAATTTTTGTGGTCGGCTTTTCTATCTACCTTACCCTGGTCAGTCGCAATGTAACTTTGACTTTTGACTGAACTTTGACTGACTGGTCATAAACCCCAGAGTCGGCTTGACACCAAGACTGACTGACTGGCTGACGCAATGTGACTTCGACTTTGAACGGAGGGAGTGACAGAGTTAGTTCAGGGCAGTTACGAGCCAGCCATAAGCTGGAGGAGTGAGTCCAGAAGAGTTTTTAGTTCCGAGGTTCCAGAGGGTTTGCAGGCTTCATAGTGGTTTGAAGTGCTAGTGAAGACTGGGAATCCCAGTGCGTGTGCAGTGGTCAACTGGCAGTTTGCAAATCAGCGATAGAGCTGTAGTTAATTGTGATTAAAAGAACTTGTAACCAAGGTGTTAATAAATCCAGTCATCCGAATTAGAACCCGCCCTACACTTGACAGTATATTCACTTATTACACTGATGATAAAGAAGTAACCGAAAGGGGTTTTGGCTGGAGGAAACTTTCTGTGAGAGCTGTACATTAGCAATGCTTCATAATTGTAACTTCCGTCTCTCTGTGTGTGAATCTGTATGAAAGCCCCACCACAGGACATGATCCTGAGCTGCTTATGTCCACCTTCTGTTCATAGAATCCGTCTTTGAAAGGCTTGTCTTGTTCGAGGGAACTCCCTCTCAGCCACGTGCTGAGTTCATCATGGCCCCTGCTCCTTAAGCCTGTGTGGTGCTGTAAATTGCCCATTTCGTCCATTTCGTTCGTGAAGTATTGCTACTGCATCAGCGACCTTGGGGTTACGTTTATAGCGAAGAGTGCCCAATTATGGAATCAAATTAGGCAGAGAACGATTTTGACATGGGCACGCGGTAGCGTAGTTGGTTGAGGCACTATGCTACAAGCCAGAAGGTCGCGGGTTCAAATCGCGATGAGGTCAATGGATTTTTTTCAATTGACCTAATCCTTCCAGCCGCACAATGGACCTGGGGTCGACTCGTCAATACCAGGAGTATTCTTGGAATTTTCTTGGGGGTAAAGGGCGGCCGGCGCTTAAGGCTGAAAAACTTGCCGCCATATGTGAGCCGATTGTCTAGAAAAAGTGGGAACCTCAACATCTCACAACCCTATGGGCCTCCACGGCCTGTTACAGGGATACCTTTACTTACTTTTACGATTTGACTAGTCAGTCAAGATAACAGAACGATCGAGTTTCGATTTTTACGTAATGTCAGGGCTTCATCTCCCTGGTCTCAGACTGGTCTCAGAGTAAGGATGTTAAGTTTTTCATGTTAATCAGGCGCCCTGTGAGTCCGTTGTATAGGTGTATGTCCATTTCTAGGAAATGACTGGGTAAACAAATGCCTGCGAAGCAAACGCATGCAACGGAAGGACGTCCATTCCTAGTTAATGGACTAGTAAACACGCCTCCTAAACAGTAAAGGTTGTTTTCTGTGTGGTCCGTGCCAAGGATTTATAACAGGACACAGGCAGACGATTATATGCTGGCAGTAGACACACCCGTGTGACGTCGGGGTCGGCGTGACCCTGCAAGTCGTAGGAGGCGACAAAAAGGGAAGTCTCAAATTTGAGACAGTAATATACGCAGGTTGGTGTCTACACCTTATCGTGGTGAGGGGGTTTGAGTATGTCAAGGACCCTGAGAACTATACCAGCGGTAGCGTGGCGGCTGGCAGGGCCTCCCTTGCTGGACAGGTCAATGGGTAGGCATCAGACGAAGAGAGACACCAAAAACCAAAAACTGATGCCGGAAGCAGCGTCATCAGCAGCGACTTGAAGCACAGAGCAAATGATGCTCGAGATGGTTCAAGTTCGTATAGCAACAGGCGTGACCAGAGTGGTTTGAAAACGGCTGTTGTACTGCGATGTGGAAAGCAAATGGAAAAACTACCACATTATCACTTTTCCTGGATAGTCTCTTTCCAAAAACAGAAGATCGCATTAAGTGGAGGAACTGTTTGGAAGAGACTGTGGACCTGTCATCTGACAGATTACTGATGAATGAATGAATACGCAGGGGGACCCAAAAATAACCGGAACCGACCTGTTGCGAGCGCATGCTTTGTAGTTACTAGTTGTGCTGCTAGGTGGTGTTAGCTGGGGGTCTCCCGCGGCTGTTAGTGAGCTGGCGTCAGTCTGAGTTAAGTGCTGTTAAGTTAAGTCTGTGGTGCTCTGTTGTGTGCGTTCCTGCTTCAACCCTTTGGCGATTAGTGAGATGGCCGACCAGAAGGAACAAAGAGTGTGCGTGAAATTTTGCTTTCTGTTAGGGAAAACTGCGGCCGAGACTGTTGGGATGCTTCGGCAAGCCTTTATTGATGTTGCTTTGGGGAAATCACAGGTCTGCGAGTGGTTTTCCCGTTTCAAATCTGGCAACATGTCAACAGAAGACATGCCACGCCCCGGGCGTCCTTCGACAGGAAGAAATGACGAAAACATTGCCAAAATCAAACGTGCAATTGATGAAGATCGTCGAAAGACCATTGACCAACTTTCTGAGGAAACGAACATCTCGTGGAGCACGGTCCAGCGGATTTTAACCGAAGGTTTGCACATGAGACGGGTGTCTGCAAAATTTGTTCCTCGCTTGCTCGGAGATGAACAAAGAGAAAACCGCGTGAGTGTTTTCCGCGACTTGAAGACGACTTGAAGAGTGAAGTGCAGAACGATCTAGAATTTCTTAAAAGAATTGTGACTGGCGAAGAGTCTTGGTGCTACGGGTACGATCCAGAATCAAAGCAATCATCAAGCCAGTGGAAAACTCCAACTTCACCACGACCGAAGAAAGCGCGTCAAGTGCGATCCAATGTGAAAACAATGTTGATTTGTTTTTTGATGTGAATGGCATTGTCCACAAAGAGTTCGTTCCGCCAGGACAAACAGTGAACCAACATTTTTACCTGGATGTGTTACGAAGATTACGAGAGAGTGTGCGACGANTGGCAAAAGCGTTGGGACAAGTGCATTAATGCACATGGACAATACTTTGAAGGGGACTAATATACAGGGTGATTCAGAAAGATGGACACAATCTCAATTGGCTATATTTCCTGAATTATATGTTGCATTTGAAGTCTGTAAATTACATTTGATTATACATACATGGAAATTTATAGATGTTCAATGTGCCCCCCTCCGGCTGCACGGATAACATCTAGACGGTAGCTGAATTCATCCTACACTCGATGACAAATATCTTGCGTCACTGAGTTCACCCCAGCTGTGATACAGTTTCTTAGGTCATTCAAATTTGTGGGAAGAGGTGGTACACGCCACACAGTTGTTTGCGATAGTCCAAGTTCTCTACTAGCACTACGGGTTGACTTCATTGGGCTGCGCTTAAAGTTCACTCGAATGCACTCCACGTTCTCCTCCGATACACGCGATCGGCCCGGGCTTTTACCCTTACACAGAGAGCCAGTTTAATCAAATTGTTTATTCCAACGATAAATGCTCTTCCTCGTTGGAGGTTGGATGTTAAATGCACGGTGCCCCGCAGTCGCAGACTCACTTTTACTGAACTCACGAATGCAAAAAATCTTGTGTTGCATAGTAGGCATCTCACTTACAACTGACGCAGTGATGGAGGGCACTAGCGGTAGTACTAGAAACTTTACAGCATCCTCTTTCAAATGTACTTTACAGAATTCAAATGCAACATACAGTTCAGGAAATATAGCGAATTGAAATTGTGTCCATCTTTCTGAATCACGCTGTATAGTTCAATAAAAATGCAGAAATAAAAAATAACAAAAATAAATTCCGGTTATTTTTGGGTCTCCCCTCGTATGGTCTCGAGTACCAAGGGACTCGGACCCGAGAAAGACTGCGCTGGCAAGGATCAGCAGCATATAGAAAAGTCAGACCCGTCCTCACGTCAGAGAGGGCGCCCACAAAAAAAGACAAGACCGTAACTGTCAAAGAGTAAGAAATATCTGGTCATGAGCCTAAGGAGGGTGCTCGACATCAAGACTTACTGACTGACTGACCGTCAGTCGCAATGTGACTTTGACTTGATTATATGCTCTACCTATACCAGAAGGACAAGCGGACACTGCCTGGGAACCGTCAAAATCGGAGATATAGTTTATAACCCCCCCCCCCCCACACNGGCTTAGTTGAGAGTACGAGGATAGAAGAGTCCAACAGAGTGAAGCGGAGAGTCGACCTTCGAGACGCCAGCCTGCCGGGATATGAGCTTGGGAGCAGAGGAATAGGCAGTGGCAGGATAAGGACAAGAAAGGGATTTGGGCTGTGAAAAGAAGACTTTATATGTGATTTGAAGTCGTAGTGAGACTTATAAATCCGTTGCCTGGATACGGCTAGAGAAGATTGAGTGTCCTACTGCGTGTGCCACTGTGAACTGGAAAGTGTGTACTCGTAGAATAGCGACCGCGCTCTATTGCCTGTAGTCCCGAAGTGTGTGAATGTGTAAGGTGCCAGTAAATCCAATCCAAAACCCCGTCCAAAAGTCACGCCCAAACCCCTGCACGTGATAGTATGTTTACAGGCTGTCGTATGTATTCCGTGCTGGGGCTTGTATATGTGCAACCTTCAGGAAAAGCAAATGGTGGATACAGATATAATTAGAGGTTCATTTGCAAAATGTCCTTTTGTTGTAGACGGATTTGTTTTGGGGTGTAATTTTTAACGTATTAATATTGTGTCTGATGAGAGATTCTGTTTCAGAATGCCGGCCCGGCGCCCAGTCCGTTGGGCCAAATGCCGCCAAACGATGGCTTGCCCGGCGGCCCCATGCCCCCAGGATTCTTTCCTGTAAGTACACATTCACATGCATTATACATAACGTCGCTTAATAAGTCGCGCACTGAATTCTTGGACGTTTCGTCCTCTCATCGGCGCGGAACATTTTGATACCTATTGCAAGGGCTTGCTTTCAGCTGGAATTTGTCGGCGATTAATGGCCTTGTTTACTTCTAAGCATTTCTGTCTACTTAAGTAATTTTCGATCACTTTTTTTTTCTTGGCACTACAGCCCCAGTGGGCCTAGGCCTACCTCCATGAACTTCTCCGTTCACTTCGGTTTTTCTAGAGCTTACACATTCGGTAGGACTCATTTGGCGGGTGATCAGCTCGTCGCCAGGCCTCTACCTGTACACAAACACAGAAAAACGCACACACACACAAACTAAACATCCATGCCCTGAGTGGGATTCGAATCCACGATCCCGGTTTCCGAGCGAGCGAAGACAGTACATGCCTTAGACCGCTCGGCTACCGTGACCGGTTTCGATCACTTACCGCGCAGTAGAAGGCGCATAATGTCTCTGACTAATTGGACATTGGCATTGTGGATTCAAATCCTACTGGGGTCATGGGTGTGTGTGTGTGTTGCCCTTGTTCTTGACCGCATATCAGGAAGTGAACTGTTATTTATAATTCATTAAGTCAGTTCTGTATGAGTTAAGGCATTATGCTCTAGCGTAGCGGTTCCCGCTCCACACAAGCAGCGAGTGACTGTGCCTTGCTTGGTTCGATATCCTCCTAAATAATGAATAGGAAGTGTCCCCTCCTGCAAGGCGTCCTTCCAAATATGTATTTAGATTTACAGTTTCAGCAGTTAATTCTGAATTGCACCGGGCCTGGTGGCGTAATTCGTAAAGCCGAAGAACAGTAACTTCAATAAAATTATCAGCTTAGCAATTACCGCTGTTTCTCCTTGTTCTTAGTGGGGTGAGGCTAAGTCCACTTGGTACTGCGGCATCTACTGGCCTATTGTACCAGCTCCAGATGATGGTGATTGTTTAGCAATTGGTGGAATTGAAGATTGGCACTGGAAGCCGAAGTACTCTGAGAAAACCTGCCCCGGCGCCACTTTGTCCGCCACAATTCCCACATTACCAGACCCTGGCTCGAACCCGGGTCGTAGCGGTGGGAATCCAACCACTAACCGCCTGAGCTACGGTGCGGCCAATTGTATCTGCTAACGTACATATGAATGTAAAAAGCAATACCTCTAACAGGCCGTGGAGACCCATATGGTTCTGAGACGTCGAGGCTCCCACATCTTCTAGACAGTCGGCTCACAGATGGCGGTGAGGTTGTCAGCCTTACGCGCCGGTCGCTATTTACTCATTTCTGTTAGAGGCTGAGTCGACCCGAGGGGCATAGTGCGGCTGGAAGGATTAGGCCCAGTGACCTCATCGGGACTTGCACTTCCGGCTTATAGCATAATGCTCTACTGCATGCGATAGGGTAGCCGCTGTGGTCACTACGAGCGGAGGCCGTGGGGGCTGTACCATTTGCGCTGTTCATAGCTTCCTTGTTGTTCTGTAACGTGTTATGAGGTTGCTTCTTTTCTTTGGTTTCATGGTCCTCCAGGGTTGCATGGGCGTGCATACGGGGGACATGCGAAGTGAACACAAAACGTTAATCGAAAATCCTGAAGAGACCACTTGGATAATCTAGACATAGATAATAAGAATAATATTTCCATAAGAGGAGTTGGGATAGCTCTCTTCTGTCGGTATAGCGACGGGCTACGGGCTGGACGGCCGGGTTCGATTCCCAGCATATCAAGATTTTTCTCTTTTCCACAGCGTCGAGACCGGTGCTGTGGCCCACCCAATCTCTTACCCAAAGGGTACCTGGGGCGATTTCCCCGGAGATAAAGCGGCCGGGGCGTGACGCTCACAACTCACCTCCATCCAGTGCCGATGTCAAGAAACGTGGAACTATACCTCCACTTCCTCATACACATATGTCTTCGTGGCTTAGTGATTAAGGAATTAAGAGCAGGGCAGTTTTACACTTTTCCCTTTAACATTTCCGTGGATTTTGGGTGAACACTTCGCACACTGCGAGAGAATGGATCAGGCAGCTTGCGCAAGATAGGGGCAAGTAGCGGGCTGTTGTGAACGCGGTACTGAACCTTAGGTTTCATAATTGGTGGGGAATTGGGCGACTGCTTGAGGTTTACGTTAGTGAGTTGGTTTGTGTTAGATCGTAATGGCCATAGTTGGCAAAATTGACGTGTCCTTGTCAACGTGTACGTGTATGTTGAGCGCGTACCGTGGTGTCGAGGAACAGGAGGTTCCTTTACGGTACAAAGAAACGGTTTGTCTATATCTTTGTTTACTCACTGCACTGAGCCAAGGATTATTTAGCCAAAAGCGAATTTTAATACGGCCGCTGGAAACGCGTACCGCTACGTTTGTCTGAAAGTGTGTCGGGCTGCTCTTGTGGGAGCTGCAGATGAAGGTTTGAAGTAACTTTCGCAAAGCAACGAGATACAAAGATTAATTATGCAGTAAAGAGCTGTAAATTTAAGATGCCAGAATTCAATTTATTATATCGGCTGTAGTTATTAAGCCGATCACAGTGGCCGCGCGGTCTAAGGCATGAACTGTCTTCGAACGCTGGGATCGTGGGTTCGAATTCCACTCGAGACATGGATGTATTTGTTGCGTTTATTGTGTGTTTGTGTTGTATCTAGGTAGCGGCCTTGCGACGGGCTGATCCCCCGTCCAAGGAACCCTACCGACTGTGTGTAGGATTAAGAAACTGAAGAAGCGGCAAAGGTGCAAAGGGCTGTAGAGCCCCCCCCCACACAGAAGCGTAGATGATTATGCGGATGACGTATGAGGAGTTCGTAATCGTGATGTTAAAGCTGTGTCCTCAACCATTTGACTAGAAGTGGACGGTTCCGACTGGATTTCCAATACATGAAGCCGTCTGAGAATAGAGCCTGCATCTCTGACAGGGTTACGCGAGATGTGGGCTTTCATTTTCCATCTGAAGTATCGCTGAGAGCGCGTCATGCGGAAGGTAAGTCGTGCGTGTTGCCTAAATGTCTGGTGTGACGATTTGATTTCCAGTAATTGTTGAAAATAAAATACATTAACTTTCTCAATATAACGTAAGAATCGACGTCACTATCTGATGACGACCCATCCTCAGAGATGGTTTAGGCTGACAGTAGCGGCCCACATGTTCCCACAAAAAAGCAACCTGAGTCGCTTTAAGAATTCCAGGATCTAATCTTGGGTCTGTGAACCCTGGAAGGACGTCTGTTTTGGCACATCGCCCGGATCATTACCGGCTGTTGGAATTGCGAATATTTACTGCAGACTCGATGTAAATTTCGTTTTCTACGTACCTTGACAAATTAGGCTTTCTGGTCTGTTCCTATTCGAAATGAATTATGAAATTATAGACATGCATTAGGATTCCTTTAACGGGGGATCAGCCTGTCGCAAGGCCGCTGCCTACACAGGACAACACTAATACGGAATAAACACAGACATCCATGCCTCGATTGGGATTCGAACCCGCGGGTGAAGGCATTTCATGTCGTAGACCCCTCGACCATGATCGGCATCACCACGTATTTCTAACCGCAACTGCGAACCGTGTAGGGCTGCTTCTTGTTCCACGACGACGGCGCTTGGCGACCACATGAAATAGACTTATCGGTGATAAAAGTAAGTATCGTTCAGGTGTTTTTTCTACAGCAGAGACGTTCGGCCATGAAGGTCCTTTGTGCATAGGCCTTCCGCGGATTTCCGTCTCTTGGGATGCAGTGGCCTCATGGCGATCTTGCCTGTAACCGCTGTCCTGCTTTCGAAAATGCGGTTGTTGGCAACATTTGCGTCTCAGATTTCTATTTTCCACGAAGTTCTCCCTTCTCCAGTGAATTGCCTGACGGCAGTTGCGTGCAGTATCTTTAGGGAGAATACTTACAGCTCTTCACGTTGAGGCACTGCTGTTGTACTGGCTTTAAGAGTAGCAGTTTGTACGCGCCACCAAATATCATGACAAATGTATAATTCTAGCTGGAAAACCTAAAGGGAAGGAATGCATTCAGGGACATAGGTGCAGGTATGAGGACAGCGTTAATTTTGTTCTGTCTTGCTCGGGATAGGGACTAATGGCGGACTAGTTTTCAGCCGGAAGTGACTAGCTGAGCGTCGAGTTACGTACCCAGACTCTTGCAGAGTAACAGGATGAAAGTCACTCGAATTCTTGATCTTTAATTTAAAATAGGCATTTTCCTTGCATCCGCGGTTTCGCCAGTGGCAGATATGAAGTAACCTTTGTTTTTCATGTATATCCAAGTGTTCCAACCCAATTCCTTAGTCTTATATATCCGTGATGTTTTGAAAACATCGGTGGCTTTGGAAACAGAAGGGCCCACATTGGCACGGCTGTGTTGCGGCTCCTTTTTGTGGCATATTTTTGTATATATTATGCCCAATTTATTATATACCTGTTACTGTACACGGAAATGTGGCTATCTCTAATGCTTGGGAAACATCTGTTAGAACATATTTTGAAAGAAGGACTGTAATAATTATACTGTTTCCGAAACCTCCTTGGGGCTGCATATAAGAAAGTTGATAGATTCCATTTTCACATGTCAGACTGGACGTCTCGTTCGACACAGAACTTCTCCGTGTGGCAGGATACAGAAGGTATGATTTGTTCTTACGAATGTTTTAGACGAAGTTTTCTTTTCCCGGGAAAAAGCCCTTTAAGTGCAGGGTATGAAATATATACTGAAGTTGTTGCACGGCAGGTGGATATGTCTCAGTTAACAATTTTTTTTGAATAACAGAATGGGTGTGAACAGAACATATCGCGCATGGACGTGTGTTTTCGGTATCCCAGCTTAACAGAGAGATATCGGTTTATATGGCCATTATTGACCTTGGAAAGGCTTGTGGGACAGTCATGTGAACATGGCTTTGGAAAACATGTAAAAGAAGGCATAGGCCATCTGCAGAACTTGGTAAGAACCATACACAATCACACAA